AGACATATTCGGTAATGAATGTAGGCTGATAAGGTGATCATGAGGTTTGTAGGTATTTTCACGACATGCTCTTACATGCATATACATGACTAAAAAAATAATCGAATGAAAGCATATATTGTCGGACAATTCCATTGTTTCCCAACAACATTTAAAAAAAAATTTAAGCTGTGTCGTCCTTTGTCACTTTGCAGAATTTAGAAGTGTTGTAGTAGGGTAAAATGATTTTTGATCAGAACAGTGAGCTAATGGATGTAGTAGTTGCAGCTGATGTAGCAGTAGAATTTGCAGTTATGTCTTGTGTAGTTCAAGTATGATCACAGCGTCCTTTGTTTCATATTCACATGTATCCATAAACATTTAGAGTGACAATGCATGTCCACTGTGTGTCTACATTTGATAACGTTTGAGATACAATATCGAGCATGCTCTTTCACTAAGATTTCAAAGAGCGCTATACGACTCTTGCTCAAATGCTGTTTAATTAAGGTTAATAAAGCTTTCACGAATTTTATGGCAGCCATGTGGAGGACATTTTCAAATTTGACTCATCAGTGACCACAATGAGGTCCGATGGAAATCACTATTTTTATTCCCTTAGTAGTTCAGGTGAACACTTTAGCTTGACTTGCCTTTACACGTGTTTGTGTTTAATGGACATAGAAGTACACTGAAATAAAACATCTTCGAGCAAGATGATTATCGTAACAGTTTATTAATAAATAAATGCCACAAAACTCTTTCTATTACCAAAAGAATCTGTTGTACGATTCCGACGATATCATAAGAACATGTTTATGAAACAGCATCGGGTAGGAATGTTCGCGAAATGTAATCGTATCCTTTCCCACAGGTTGTAACCGTAGCAAACACATGTAAAGCAAGTCAAGTAATCACCTCGACAAGCACGGGAACATAATTGCCAACACGACCTACCATTTAGAGACACGGTAGGAACTGAGTTTTTAAAAAATCTAGTTTGAATGTTCTTGCAGAAAATTGCAGGTAAATTTGTGGGACTATTATAAGTCACCTTTGAATGTCTCTTCTTTTACAAACCTAATCACGTAACTGCCATCAGCATGCACTAATTATAATGTCTTGTCACAGTATACTTTCGAATAAGGTACTGTAAGTACTGAAGGTCGTTGAAACGAACACAATAACTTGCCCTTGTGATTGCCCTTGATCACGATACCATGACGCTATAGATCCGATTATAATTCAACCAAATGTATGAGACAGACCATAAGATAGTATTGAAGCAAATGTATACCGACGTAGTTCGTGAGAACAGTCTGATAAGCAAACGTGAAACATCAGTTAGCATACATCACAGACGCTTTTAAGCACACACACGAACGTAAACATTTACACTTACACACTAAGTCACTGCCGTCAGTGAAGAAAGCGACGTTATGTACAAATAATCTTAACAGTCGTGGTGGAAGTAGTAGCAAAACGATAGTTGTGGATCAATGACTTTATTGCGGATAGTTTCAGCAACATTACTAATAGCCGTGGTAATCGTTATACCACTAATATTATTAAATTAGGGGCAATATGTTTGCTATTTCTTCAAACAAATAATGTCTCATTAAAGGCCATCTTTTTTAACTGAGAAATTAATCCCCCCAAACCACGTTAAAACTTTTAACTTGGCTTTAAAACCTGAAGAAATGCCAATACTCTTTTGTACTTGATTCCAAAGCTCCATGATAATCCACACAAAGAGATATATTTATAATATTGCTGGGTTCAGAAAATGTACCAACAAATCCCTGCCTCAATGATAAGCACCATATCCTAAATACAACTAAGGGAGGATTTGTTTAATATTTGCATAAAGCATTGAGACCAGTGGCACTCTCAAAATCTCAAATCAAATTGATTGAATTTGTGCAATCAAATTCTGTCCAAACATTTGAGTTTTCAACTTTGTTCACGGGTATCCCAAATGACAAAACTTGAAATGCCTAAATGCTGGACTTTCTCATTGATAACATCCATGTGACGTTTAGGTAAGAAGTAGGCATCCCAGGGGGAACCAAATGGCCTTCTCTTCTTGCTGATCTGTTTCTTTATGCATAGGAATTTCTGCTTTGATTTGCAAAATCAAACATAGAAATAAGACAAGAAGCGTATCTTAAGCTTCAGGTATATCGATGATCTGATATCCATAAAAAAACGGTCACATATTCACGTCACTTCGACTCATCTACGCTCCTGAACTAGAAATAGAAGAATACTATCCAAAAGACTGTGAGGAGGTAAGACTTTCCAAAGGTCAATTTTCCCTTTACCTCGAGCAATATTTCAGCAGCAACTTACAACTTACAACTTACTTACAGCATATTTACAACTCTTGAGGTACAATCAAGCATCCTTTTTTTACGGATGTTGCAAAGAGCGCCATACGAGTCTTGCTCACAAGTTGTAAAGGTTTTAACAAGTTTTTTGGTGGACATGTGAATGGCATTTCAAAATTTTCACGCATCTGTAACACGAATTATTTTTGATGCAAATCACTATTTTGTTTTGTACCATACATATGTATGTTGCTTCATAAATTGACTTGCATGTGCATGTGTTTGTGAGGGGCGCCGCCGGTTGGGCAGGATACGCTCACCTTTTCGCGAAAAGGTGGTATACTAGGTTTTGTATAGTGATTCATAAACACATGTTCGTAACATATTCTAAATGGTAGCATATATGTCTCATGAATATGGGAATGGTTTTGTCGATTTTATTATTATTATTTACAGATTAAGATAAAACAATGGAACAAAGAGGGATTGGGTGATCCTGGCACGGTCAGACGGTTGCATTACACAGCTTGTCAGAAGGACTGTATTACTGGCAACAAACCTGGGTACGTACTCTCCCAATGTCAGTCAACAGATTGAGAGGTACCAAACCAAAGGCACCGAGAATAATGGGGAATCGGACAACTTGGGACCGGGGATACAAGCGTGACATTTCGAAAGCGAGGTCCGCATATTTACCTTGTTTCCCCTGAATCTTGTCACTCACATAAATGTCAAAAGGGACAGAAAGTTCAATGATATAAATGATGTACTTGGATTTATACAAAAAACACCCAAAAAAACACACGAAAAGATCAGGCTGTATAATGGCTATTTCAAAGAATTTTGTATTTATCATTTTCGATGACGCCCTCTACATATTCTCGGTCGTACCATAGATGGACCTCTGTGTCAGAACCACAAGCATTGCTAAGACGGCAATAAAAGGATCGAGCCACACCATCATGTCGCTTAAGATACTGTGGTTGTGCCAAGGCTGGACATCTACTGACAGTGTGTTGGGCAGTCTCATTAAGTTGATTGCATATTCTTCATTTCATATTTAAAGCTTGATGCAAAATCGGTTTGGATTTGGAAGTGACTAATCTTGAGCAGCAAACACAAAGCTTTCTGTTTCACTTTTCAGTCCAGACGACTTCATCCAAGAGAAGGGCTCTGCAGGGTTGCTGATCTCCTCAACACACTGAACATAAACTCGATGCTGTGGTCGTTCAGATAGCCTCTCCTTAAAACACTGGGCCGATTTGATATGGCACTTCGCTTTGTTCACAATCATTTCTGTACCGTCAAGCAGTACAGATCCATCAACAAAATCAACACTGTCATTGAGATTAGGTCCTAAATCCTTGGCTCGTTTAAGAAAATTGTGGAATGCCTTGTTTCATCTTGAGTCTTGACATGCTTTTCAAGAGGATCATCAGTCAAATAAATGTGTGCAAAACTGCACAAAACAATTCTATCACGAAGAGGCTCCACGTTAATCAAATCACGCCCTCCTATCATGATTGGAAAATATAAGCGATTGAGGGAGGCGCGAGGGTGGTGAGATCTATTGTCTGAGATGATTCTTCGTGTGAGGGTGTAATACCATGAATTTCTTGTTTCTACCAATTAACAACACCAAATGAATATGAAGGGACGGGTACAGCATAAGTATTTGTGGCTTAACCTGTATTAATCTTACTATTATCATTATTATTGTGAGATATGTATGGAGAGAAAATCACTGCACGAATTGCGGAAGTATACATTAGACTGAAACTTCTTCTAACCTGCTGTTTGTTTGAACATTGTTTACAGTCATAATTTATGTATAGAAACGAGAAAGTTCTTTCTTATAGTGGTGGATTTTCTTTTGTCGTTTTCATTAACAATTCGATCCCAAACAGCCCATCTAATCTCTGTTGACCTGCGCCAGGCCACGTTCAAGTTATTACAAGGCGTCTGTATCCTTTGCGGCCATGTGCCATACCACCGTTAACAAATCGACACATTCAGCCAGACGCCAATGGTGTTCAGAGCGTAGAAACTGGGAGAATTGCCGATGATCTCGTGTAATGTTGCAAAAGGAGTGAGAAGACTCTCTCATACTGTCATATTAGAAGATTGATTCGGACCATACCCTCTAAACGAATGTTTGCCCAATCGTGGGTGCATGACCTATTTCTGATCATGTCACTTCAAACGCGCATTTTGTCACTACACAACCCGTCGGCTTTCTTTGTTGTTTGCATCTTTACAATACACTACCAACAAGTTATGGTGATTGTCATGTCACACCCAGTCCTTCCTTGTTCTGATCCATTCCTTACTTTCCGCCGACACCTCTTTGTGTTTTTTTTTATGATCAGTTATTTCTAATACCCCAACGTTTTGTAGAGTATATTAACAACGGCCATGTCCTATGAATAGAGGTTAAGCAGTACGTAGTTGTCGTGTAATGATGCAGTAAGAGAACCGCGGACACGGTAAACATTTGACCAGTTGGACTAATGACAGAACATATACATACTTTGTTTGAGAAAGATAATTATCTGCGATCACAGAACTCGTGATGAACCTTCATAAAAACACACTATACATGAGTTCAAATAACTAGCTGCCATGGAAACATAACTTTTGTATGATATAAAGAACACCAGAACCAGGTTTGCATTCCACGTGTGCGGCTTCCAATCAGCAATGATGGGTGCACTGCGTGTGTTGCTGCTGCTGCTGCTTCGACAGGGTATGTGATCATTTAGTAGTATTTCCTCTTTGACCAGCACTCTTGCTATTTCCTTTCTTGAGCAGTGCTCGTGCTATTTCCTAATTATAAATGAGTGCGTTTTAACTCTCACCATCATGCATATATATTCTCGTCATATATCTGATGTTCGTATATTGAATTGTCCCAACACAATGTCCGTATCAAATCAAATTCCCTTCCTTAAGTAGCATTCTTGCATAACTATCTCCCGCCACAAAGTGGAAGGGGGATATAGGAATGGGCCCTGTCCGTCCGTCCGTCAGGTTTGGTTTCCGGAGCAGAACTAAAAACACATGACATATATCTTTATGAAACTTGGCACAAAGATACATGTAGGCTTAGAGATGAACTGATAGTTTGGGCTTTTTTGAAAACATAATTTTCATATGTCGGTGGCAACGACTTTGACTTAGACTAAAAATGGCGGTAGTGTTCGTTTCCGGAGCAGATCCTGAAAACCGTACAATATTTCTTGCCTTACCAGGTGTTTCTTGTTTAACGCCACACTCAGCAACTTTCGAGTTATATGTCGGCGGTCTGTAAATAAATCGAATCTGGGCCAGACAATCCAGTATCTTCCAAAGGCAAGGGACTGTAGAATAAAAGTTACAAAACCCTTCCCATGATCGTAAGAAATCTCTGCCAAAAGCAGTCGATTGTACAATTCCGACTTTTCAATGAACATGTGTTTATGAATCACTATCAAAAAGTGTTGATACCAGGGTGTTCGCGAAAAGGTGAAAAGCAGGACAACATTTGGCACAAGTCAAAATACGGAATTGCATCGGACATATAGTAAACTACGGTTATAACGAACTCAAAGGGACCACTAATTTTAGTTCGTTGTAGCCGTGGTTCGTTATATGCATATATACAGCATAACTACAGCAAATAGTCGGGACGAAAACGTAAGTTCGTTATATCCGGCAGTTCGTTGTTAGCGTGTTCGTTATAACCGTAGTTTACTGTACTTGTTACCTTGATCAAATAGCTTCTGAGGTAGAGCCGTGTGACGCTCTTTGCAATCTTGTTAGAAAGAGTATGCTTATGGTGGCCGAGAACATTCATTGCTTTCTCGCCTACAATTACTGCCGCGAGAAAGTAATGAAACGATAACACGAGTCAAGAAAGCGATAACACGAGACGAGAAAGCGATATCTCACGGTAAAGCTATTTTATCTCTTGGCCACTATAGGGTTATGTGTTCTATACGGTACAAAGTTCATTCGTAAAACAACAGTAATGCCTTGTTTACAAAAGCGACAAAAATCCTTTCCATATTAATTAGTAATCTCTGCCAAAAGCAGAGTCGATTGTACGATTCCGACTATATCATGAGCATGTGTTTATGAAACACTGTCAACAAGAGATGATACCAGGTGTTCGTTAAAAGGTGAACGTATGCTGCACCACCGGTAGCACCCGTCACAAACCCATGCAAAGGCAAGTCAATTGTTCACCTGCAAACACACGGGAACATATGGTACAAGTCAAAATAAGGAATTGCCTCAGACATTATTTTTGTCACTGATGCGTCAAATTTTGAAATGCCCTCTACATGTCTGCCATAAAACTCTTTGATAGCTCTACTGAGGCCTTGAATATTGTAAGCATGATCAAACAACTTCTGAGCAAGACTCGTATGACGCTCTTTGAAATCTTGGTGGAAAGTGCATGCTCGATTGTAACTCAAAAGTGAAGGTGAGATGGTCACGTGAAATGGGGTTTAACGTCGCGTCCAAGATTATTGCACTTATACTGAGACGTGCATGCACGACCAAGCCACAGTTGAACATGAATGCCCCTCTCAGACACAGTATACTGACTCCGAGCCGACCAGTCCTTGATTTAGCCCCTTATATTATTATTAATGCCGAGCGCCAGACAGGGTAACAACAAGTATCATCTTTTATGACGCGGCCGGTTGTCACAACGGTTGTCACGGGGGGCGGCTGAAAAGTTTTTTTCTTCATAAAAGCGAGCAGGGATTTTTCGAAACGTATTTCAAATTATACCATAGAGAGACTGTTAAAATTGTCTCACTATTCACTAACCATAATAACTGTACAGACGTTTTAAAACAATGCACGGATTTCTGCGAAGACTAATTGATTATTTAATGGCCCTCAATAGATGTTTTAAGGGCCCATTACGCCGTCACATAATCCGAGTTTTTCGAAATAAAAAAACAATTAAGAACGTTTCCTTTAGCGTGTATGTGAATCTTGCTAATTTACTACAATACAAGAAGGTAAACAAATGCGTGTACATATGCAAACGAAACAAGATTGGATTCTGTATCAGACAAATGTATCTCTACTACAAAATGTTGAAACGTTCTTGGTAACTATAAAAGGCAAAATAGCGGTGAACATTATAGAAATGGATCATTGAATATCAGCAAAAACTTTTTTAATGTACGACATTATTGGAAATATCGATTTCCCGCTCTATTGCTTTCTCGTTTTCTCGTTCAATCGCTTTCTCGCTTTATCGCATCATTCTTTCGCTTTCTCACGTCACTGCTTTCTCGCCTAGTTCTATCGCTTATACCTTATATAATGTACGGCATGTCCCCCCTGAAAGCGGTGCCCTGCCAAGACGATCAGATTGATATGTATTGTAATGAAGTGCTCTTACTTCGCAAAGAGCATCCAATGACTTGAATACGTTGATTAAAAAGATGAAAAGATTTGGAAAATATCCCAGTTGACGGTAGATTAAAATCTAGTCTCTGAAATGAACATATTTTAAGAAAAAAAACAGTTTATAGTAATATATGAAATATAATGAAAAGAAGCCAAGAGACTTTCCTCATTTTCTGACGGTAATCTAAATTTTCCAATATTATAGACTTGCATGGGCCTTATTGGATATATTTGTTTCAGGGACTGTGTGACCGACTGAGTTGATGGTTGAAATCTTCACGGCAGTAGTCATGTTATTAATGTTATATTTGAGATAACACTTTTTTTAGTAAATTATAGATTCTATTACTTTGGGGTTTGAGTCCCATCCGGTAATCGAACCCACACTCCCAGAGTGAGGCAACCAATCGCCAGCACACAAAGTCAGCGATCTGACCCACTCTAACCCATTCTTCGCTGTCTCTGTGTGCTGGCGAATTCAAGCCCAGTCCGGCGAGGGTGAAAACTGGACTTCTGTAGTCAGCTGACTCCCTTTCCTCGGGAAGATGAACCAGACAATCCAGTTATTGAAATAATGAGCATCGATCTACGCACTTGTGATACGATGACATCAACCAAATCAGCGAGCCTGGCCACCCGTTCCTGTTAGTCATCTTTTACGACAAGCATGGGTTACTGAAGACCGATTTTAACCCGGGTTAATAACTGTCAACAAAATGTCCAAACATGATTAGAATCAGCGGGTACTTGGACGGTTAACACGCACGTGAGGTCATAGATGTCATCCAACATTGTTAAAAAGGAAGGTGCGCTCTATTCCCATCAGACAAAGAAATGGACATGATTGGGTGACAAAAGGGCCCGCCCGCGTGTACCACTGTTTGAATATTTATAATGCTCGTTTTCAAACGCGATGTGATACTAATTTTAAAACTTGTATTGTACTGCCTCTTATGTCTTGACATTAACTGAATATACCACTATTTTCCTTATTAGAGCTCCTGGTGGAGTCCAAGGAGATTCGAACCAATGAGTCTGGTAACTGGGATTACATTACCAAACTCAGCAACAAAGGCATAAATGTTGCTGGGATGACCACCTTGACATTTAGCCACAAGGGCTGCGGCAAAGCCACTGTGGAACTATACCAACAAGGCTTTGCTGAAGACTCACTGGCACTGAAGTTCTCGCTCATGATAAAAGATAAAAAGTCTGGACACCGGTTTGGCAACATGAGGAAATGCATTCTCACTAAGACGAAAAACATGAACTGTAGTGACAAAATTAGAGCAACAATGACCTCCTCATGTGACGACTTTAAACCCTTCTGGATCAGCATGGCAGAATCAGGCATTTTCATGGTTGGAGAAGGATGCAAGCCTGGGAACAACACCTTGTGGAAACTATCCGACATTGGTTCCTTCAATCTTGGTGAAATTGGTTTAGGCTCTGATGATACCACTGAATGGAAATTCGGTAAGCAGATCTATTTCTCATTTACATTATTTATTGAAGGAGTTTGTACGTTTTCCTTTTCTAACATACATTATAACTATTTAAAAAAAAATCTTTACTATGGCTACATATGAAAAGAACATGTCTGTTGCCTTAAGATCATTTACCTTCCGGCCCAAATTCGCATGTAAAGGGAATCAAAGGAAGTGAAGGCAATCAAAGGAACTACTACAACTAGTTTAACCTCACATGTTTATATAATTATTCTTTATGAAAGGATAATCATTAGATATGTCAGTGTGATAAGTGTTTTAGGAAATGACTTCCATATACAATTTCTAATGTACGGCGACGTTCAATTTTGCAGTAACGTTCAAGTTTGAAACGTTGTAGGGCTACTCACATTCCCTTTTTAAGCTATAACCATAACATGTCAAAACATGAGTTGTGCTTGTTTGAGTGAGTGATTGAGTGAGTTTGGTTTAACGCCGCTTTTAACAGTATTCCAGTTATCACGGCGTGTCAGCTTAATGTGGGAGGAAAGCCCGAAGTGATGTAGGTCTCAGACGTTTACCACTTCGATGAAACCCACGAGCACGGGTATGGTGCTGACAAACCTAGAAACATAATCGGGGCGAACCGGGATTCGAACCCACAATCAAAGGTACCTGGCGTGCCCAAGGGACGCAACTCTGCACAGCGAATCGCGGCGCCTTAGGCGACTGCGCCACCCGTGCCCCCAGCCTGTTTGATAACAACTTACTATATGATATATCTTTAGTAGTAACAATGTATATGTAACTCTTATATATAATAACAGGTTTATCATGTGTATCGTGAGTACTCCCGCTTTTGGAGGATTGTGGCGTCACACATACATTGAAAATACTCCGATGATGGCTTAATTATGACATGGAGTTGTCTTTTATCAGTGAGTTAGATGTTTTACGATTGTTCTTGTGATTAGTGTCAGTGTCTTTTCTGCGTGTCAGCCAATAGTTCTTCACTTAAAGACAAGAGTGGTTTCAGTGATCAACATATATACAATATAATATCATGTAATTATTACATATGCCTGTAATTAAGAATATCCCAAGGAATTGCCATTTTAAATTGATCTTACTTCACTTGGGTTCACCCCTCTTTCTGCTCAGGTGAGGAATGTAGCGAAGCTGTTAGTGCATCTACCAGCCCCACCACTACTGTGCCAGTGTCTCACTTGCCCGTGCAAGTGAACCTACAGACTGTCAAAGAAAAAGGGTTTCTCAGGTTGAGCCAAAATGGAATTGCTGTAACCAGGTTATCAACCCTGTTTTTCGAAGTGACCTCTTGTGACAAAGGACAGCTTATTCTCCTTCCTGGAGGCGAGAAAATCGGCGACAGGGCCCATAAATTCGTAGTTCAGCAAACGACAACAGAAGGAAACGTTATTGCCAGGCATTTGAAATGCACAATACTAGGTTACGAGGACTTTGACTGTTACGGGAGTGTTTCGTACGCAATGGAGCCAATCTGCAATGAATATAAAACATTCTGGATCAGATTGAAGTCATCAGAGGTAGTGGAATATGGAGAAGGATGCAACCCTGAGAATGGTACCATGTTTACGTATACTGGTGAAAGTCCTTTTTCCCTCGGTGACATAGCAGTGAAGTCACGTGGTTCAGCCAAGTGGAAATTCGGTTAGTTTCATTTGTATGTAATTGCTAAATGGAGGACATATATTTCTTTATATGTGCTTAGTATGTTTTAGAAAGAGCTAATACTTGAGTACAGTATCCATTTCCAATTAGGCATATATGTTAAGGTTACTTGAACGGTCAGAAAACGGTACTAGGCAGATTGTGATTAGAACAGTGTCTCGAAGTAAAAGACAATTTCCTAACAGTATCCTCAAAACATTCGCGATCCCTAACGTTTTTGTTCAGAATATATGAATGAAAGTTTGCTGATTGTCAGCTCAATGTTTCATGTTGTAGTTAAAACAAAATCTATGATCATGACAACATCCATTATTGTGTGCACAATCTGTACCTATTTGGAGTAAACCTGGATTCGAAAATCATGACAGTAATGAATAAGAAATTGATATTTTCAATCTCACTGCATTGTGTTTGTGTGAGGAAATTACGCGACACATTTTTGTCCCTTACATATCTGTGGATGCTTATGCATTTATGCCAAACTGACATCATAATCCTTGCATAATATTCTCATTTGGTTTTCTATATCCTTACACTTAAAGGTTCTTCCGTCTGCAACAGAAGTCTAACTACAAGTACCATTGACGATGACGAAGAAGATGATTGGAAGGACAGGGATGATCCCGACATCAATGGGTCAGGTATAGAGGGTGGGTCGGACAACACTGAAAAAGCGGCGTCAGTCAGCAGTGGATCGGCGGGTGAAGTAGGGCCTGACAACGTGGGAACCGACGTATTTGGCGGGTCAGATGGCAATGAAACAGATGAAGAGGATGAATCAAGGATCAATGGTGACAGGGAGCACGCTGAAGGGGTTGAGCCAAACAACATTGGAACGAATGTTGCGGTTGACTCTGTCAATATTGAACAGTCTACAGCTGCAGAGGTAGGTTCAAATAATAGTGGAACAACGCAAGAGAGTGCACCTAACACCATAAAAGCAGATAAAGTGGGTGGATCAGTCAATGCTGAAACAACTGAAGAGAGAGGTTCTGGTAGTGTTGTAACTAATAATGGAGATCCCGACACCATTGTATCATTGAGATCGACAGACAGCCCTGGATCAGCGGGAAATGATGGTTTAGACCACAGTGGAAATGCTGGGGAAGGGGAGTCAGATACTAGTGGATCGGCTGGAGTAGAAGCGACAGACGTCAGTGTGTCACGGAGCGAGTTGGGCAACATTGAAACAGCCTTGGAACAAATCAACGAAGAAAGTGGTGTTACAACAGGCGAAATAGCTGCAACTGAGCAAACATCCGTCACGGTATCTGCACAGAGTGGAGAACTTGCAGATATGGCAGACAGAGACGAAGAAGAAGACAATCCTAATCTGTCCTCCATTCTAAAGTCTTTTCTAGATTCAGATGGGTCTTCAGCTGGGACAAGCACACCTTCTCTCGGTATGCTGCTGGCGGTGTGTCTGCATCATTTGTGGAACAGGCTTTTTGGCCAAAATGCTAACTAATTAATGTTATCTTTGATGTGGCATCATTCCTGACCATTGATATATAGCAATATATCGAGGCTTGTAATCAGATCAGAAATAAAATAGTATCTGCATCCCCTTATTTTAAATGCATACTTTGTGGTGTAGCAACCTTTTAAAGTAACATTGATATAGTGTTTGACACATATCTGAAATGGACACATTTAAGTTGCATGTTGTTTAACGTCACACGAAGCAATTTTCCAGCCATATGACGGCGGCCTGTAAATAATCGAGTCTGGACCAGCGATTGACATCAAGAGCATCGATCTACTTGTACGCAATTTGGGTACGATGACATGCATCAACCATGTCAGTGAGCATGACCACTCTATCCCGTTAGACGCATCTTACGACAAGCGTGTGTTGCTGAAAACCAATCCAACGAGGATTTTCACGCGGGACAAGCTTGGGTTGTCTATTCGAACCAGATCTTCACTGTTGACTCATGTTAGCGCCTATACAATTTGGTCTGGTGACTCGTATAAGGCTCAGCAAATACTGGTGCAGAATTGACTCATCAGATAAAATATTCAGGTCTGGCTGAAGGGATTTTATAAGCGTCTGTTGATCGTGTGGGGCTTTCCACCAAATTAACGCATATGTGCATGATATCATGGAAATGCCGTCCAGAGCGGCGTTACACCAAAGCTCCCAATTTGTATGACTCGTACATGTGATATTCCACATGCAAAGGAAGTTGCTGCAGTAAATATGTACACTGATATTGAATGTTGGCTGGTGTGTTTGCAAGTTCAGGGGTGTCACAAGATTGCAAAAAGAGACGACTAATATTTTTTTTTAAACATATATTTATTCAGTTTTCTATAATATTTTACATTCCAATATCATACATAGAGTGTGCATAGATTTATTGTGACATTGTTGGCATGTTTGTAGCATGGACAGATCATAGTTATACAGAGTTTCTAAATAATACATGAAGAGAAGGCCAGAAGGCATAGTTACAATTTGAATATGCAATACATTTTAAATTTAATAATATCGAAGTATTTCTTTTTGAATTAGTAAAAGGATTGGTTTGGCTTGTTTTCTATTAAATGTGTACAACATATATTTTGTTATCATAATTACTGCATTGAGTGAATTATTATTCTTCTCTTTAAATCCAAACAGTATGTGTTCATTGCTAAAATTAACTCTGCCTTCTGTATAGTTCCCAAACCAAAATGGAAGTTTCGTCCATATATCAGCAGCATAGTGACAATTACATAATACATGAGAGATTGTTTTAGATGGTTCTTTACATAATGAACAAACTGGCGATTCAACATATCCAACGACTTATATAAGTGTCAAGTGGTTGCAATGGGTGATCGTGTTGCAACGGGTGAACACTCAGTGTCGTATCTGATTTTCAGTCATCCATATGCATAATTCACATAGCCATTTTGTTCCCTGCGATCGAGATTGATTGTTCTCTTGCGTTGACATAATATACTTCATCGCAACCGCTGTCACATTGTATGCACGGATGCAGTGTTAACCTGGGATTATGTGAAGGGAACTAAATTCCAATGAATACATTCGGAAGGTTTGTGTAGTTGACAGTAAGATCGCACTGATGTATTAATCTGTGGTTAGATTAACTGGATCATGAATATGCATGAACAGAATGATTTCCACACATCACATAATTTTCTTTTCTCTTTATGATTTCATAAATAACGTACATTACTACATTAAGACACGTTTACAGTGGAGCAATGGTTTTTTTTACCTCCAGAAAAAGAGCCCTTAGCGTCATGATCCTATCCTCAGAGCAAATAAAGGCTTGTTCGATCTTTTACTAAGCTTTACGCAAAATGTATATCACACTCAGCTTGATAAACATTGACACCCAATTAGTATTATTTCGTTACAAATGTCACTTTTTCATACAGTCACATTTACTACTTCACACTCAGAGACACAAAGAGTGAACTTAGTGTATTTCCGACTGGACGGTACTGGAGACAATTAGGCGTCTAATACAATCATGGCCTCTACTTATTTTATATATTTGGTAACACTGTTCATACAAAAAATCTCTCTGAATCGATTAGTGTTAATTAACATTCAAAAGTTTTTCTTTCATTATAAAACGATATTTGTTCCTTACATTCTCCATCGCTCATTTTCGGGACGTTTAGATGTACATGTTTCCACACTTCGCTGTTCTGCATGTATGTTTGTAAATGTATGCCTATGTACCTTATTGAAAATGGACCCGTGAAAATCCGGGATAGTATTATAGTAAAACGCGACTCTGCCTGTCGTAAGAGGCGACTAACGGGATCGGGTGGTCTCTGACTTGGTTGATGCATGTCATTGACCCCAATTGCGTGGATCGATGCTCATGGTGTCAATCACTGGATTGTCTCGTCCAGACTCGATCATTTATGGACGGCCGTCATATAGCTGGAATATTGCTGAGAGCGGCATTAAACAACAAACAAACAAATTATTGGAAATGTATGGACATGTAATTATAGTTATGCATGAAATACCACCTACCCATATTATCTTCCGCCTACTATCATGCAACACATAAGACAATATAAAACAACAAATGTAAATCGTTGTAAGGAACACTTTCATATATGGACAAACCTAATAGACGACAAGGTAGTATTTTATGCTGTAGGGTCTGGGATAGTGCAAGTAATTATAATACCTCAGGATTGGACATATATGACCATTCACTACAACCGTCATTTTGAAGTTGAATACAAATCACGATACATCACGCAGAAACAAACACTTCAAAGTTGTCAATTCTGCGTGAGGTTCTCTGTTTCATGATATCAACAGCAATTATTTCAAGCAAAGCAAAATGACGTATTTGCATCGTCAATATGGCTACTTTTGACATTTGACTAAATCACCATTCACGACGTTGTTTCGTGTCTGTTTTTATATCATGGTCCAGCTTTGCTTACAATTTCTTGTATATGGGTGTGTTTTTTTCAACAACTGTGATAAACCTTACAGTTGTACTGTCCTTTGTCGACAGATATCTTATAATGAACGCCTTCTTCACATCGCTATTTGACAGCAATTCTGCTGATGAGATGTAAATGTTTAACGCAATCATTCACTGTGCTCTGAAAACGGTACTTGCTAAAAACGTGAACAAAGGCCAGTTTCGATTTTCCACTGTGTAGTATTTCATCCTATTTTGAGAGAACCATCCATGTATTCGTTGCGTACAATGCCTAATATGTTTGATCCACTGATCCTGGATTCTCCCTTACCCAACCGTTATACCCGTGCTCGTGGGTTTCACAAAAGTTGTCAACGTCTAAGACCTTCATGTCTTCGGGCTTTTATCCCACATGAAGCTGACACGCCGTGATATACCTGGAATACTGTTTAAAGCGGCGTGACACCGAACTCACTCACTCATTACCCAACCGTTACGCTACATTACAACAACACAGTTAGTGAGACACGCTGTGCGCTGCACGGCCGAGATTTATTAAGCCACATGCGTAAACGTACATACATTAGGTGTTCCATACATTAGATCTTACACACATTGAAGCGTACAGTATTCGATCACAAATTAACTTTTGTTTCGCGACACGTAAAATCAGTGTTAAACAACTCCTTTAGAGAACATACTCTGGAACTGTGTTCCCTCAACGACTGCAAACAGATACTACCGGAGGGCTTAACAGTATACATGTGATCTGTTGCACCAGTTACATTTATTGATCTACCTGTGTACATGCCCAGCAGATTCAAATATTAAAATACTGGCTGTGTAGCCTATACGTACATAGTTAACACATTTAACAAGTACATATCTATCCATGTATCTATCTATCTATAAGCCAATCGTACTGGTAATAAAATGCACAAACACTGCACATACTCTTTATGTGTATTAGGGCATAATCACTCCCTGTATTATTACGGCTATTTTACCCAGAACATCCAACATCGTATAACTGCACATACAGCAGCTAGCATTAGTATTGATACAGCTCTTCAGCGCAGAGCAATAACACATAATCGTATGACTGCACATGCAGCAGGTTACACCAGTATTAGTATTGCTCTTCAGCGCAGAGCAATGTCACATCATCGTATGACTGCATATGCAGCAGCTTACATTAGTATTAGAATTGCTCTTCAGCGCCGAGCAATGTCACATCATCGTATGACTGCATATGCAGCAGCTTACATTAGTATTAGAATTGCTCTTCAGCGCAGAGCAATGTCACATCATCGTATGACTGCACATGCAGCAGGTTACATTTGTGTCATAATGGCTCTACAGCCTGGCGACAATAATGACCCCGGAAATATAACAGATCTGAATCTGTCCGCAGTGTCACATATCTGAAACATATACACAAAAGGTTAAAACATTGAAAATGACATACGTTGCACAACAGGAAACAGTGAAAGCATGGCCACTATAGTATTTCTAAAAGCGATAATGAACAATTTAAATCTTCACACCTCTTAAATAATACTCCTGATTAATGCCACCTACCGGGAAAGACTACTCACTTATATCAACGTCCTTCATCCTTCAAACGAAGGAAATAATACTAATAATGAAATGCTATCATGGGTACCCAGCCTCGTCTAACAAGTTTGCGTACTTGTACCAACAATACCTTCATGGGTAGCACATGTTAGAATTGGTTCTCAGAAACCTTTGGTGGTAATAAAAGCCAACTTCATGAATCTGGTAGTCATGCTCGGTGAAGGCGTATATCTTTGCTCATAGTCTCAATCATTAGATTGTCTGGTATAGACTCAATTATTTACATTTCGCAGTCAGATAGCTGTTATATTGCTGAATGAGTGAGTTAAACGTTAACGTCACATAGGCAATATTTCAGCCATATCGTGTAATATTGCCGAGTGCGCATCGACAATAAAACAAACGATCGATTAAACCCATATTCGTCTCTATGATTTCAAGTTATTGCAAGTTTATGTGTGACGCATTCATAGTGCGTGGTGTAGTGTAGTGTAAAGTACGTATTTGTACTTAGTGTACTCAGGTAATATTTGTGATGGCATCGAGTAAGAAACCAAAGAGAAGCAGGTA